CACACACACACACACACACACACACACACACACACACACACACACATTCAGACACGCTTAGTTCTCACTACACACATTGTCTCACCTCACATATCATGCATTCAGCCACGTGTTAGACACACACACACAGCTGCTCCCTCTGACACTGTATGCCATCTTTGACTCACCAGAGATGATTTATACTCTGGTGTCATTGTCAGTCCTGAATTGTCTCCCCTATCTTGTGTGGAAGCGATCTCCCAGGGATTTTGCACAATGGTCTCAGAAACGCAACCAGCCAAAGCTATCAAATATCATTCATCTGTTCTCGAGCTGTTTGTCTCTTCCCCTTTTCAAGCCCGCTTCGCACCCAAACCCACGCTCCGTCTCTACATTGGTGCTCCCGCAACTTGCCTTTTCTCTTTCTATACCCTGCTTTTTCCTCTCTGTTTCCCTTAGAGCCCAAAGAAAAGGGCAGAGAGCTAATCCTTCAGCATTGTTGGGTGGGCTTAGTATTGTCGTATGGCAGCAAGCACAGAGGGAGAGGGATTATGAGATAGATATGCCAGAGTATACCCAGTTCAACATGTTGATACTGAACAGTTCATGCAGAAATATTCTAATTTTTCATGCATGCAGCAATCCACACAATGACGGAAACAAAACCAGAGGAAAATATGGCAGTTATATTTAATGAAATATTAGAAGTAATCCATTGTCATACAGCATTTTATCTCTGTTTATGATACATTCATAAGAATCTCCTTTTTTTTTTAACCCTTGCAGAGCATGTTCTTTCAGGTCATATTCATTTATCTCACTCTCTCTGTCTTTCTATATATATATATATATATATATATATATACATTTATAACAAAAAAATCAATTTAAATCAATTAGAAAGCTGAACTTAAATTATCCATGTAGCAAACAAAAACTGATCCTTATATCGCATTTGGGCTTTCGGAGCATGTAGAGCCTTATCCTGAATTTTAAAAATAATTGGAAAAAACACTACGCTCCTAAAAAATGAATAATAAATATTCACAAAATCTCTGCATTTTACCTGGTTACCTGGTACCTGTATGGCGGGGCGTGGCCTGCAGTGCTGCTGCAGGAGAGGTGGTTGCGCCTGAGCCACACCGCCTTATAGTCTGTGCTCTCTCTGATGTTGTGTGTCGGGCTGTGTGCCAGAAAGCTGAAGCCAGCTGCATGTGTACAGCAAACATCGTCGGGTCTGCCGTGGTTTGTTTACAATGGGACTTCTGCTCCTGAACCTCTGCGCCCAGCGTCTGCAGACCGGGGCTGTACGAAGTCACTTTCATCTTTACGCAGGACTGTGAGCTGTCGTCTGTGAGGCGTGAGTGGTTTTTGTTTTTATCATAGTTCATGGTTGGGAATAGCTGCTCAATTATGTATGCGGATCCGTGATGTGATGACAGTAAAGATCTCAGAAGGAAATTTTTAAATTTAAAGAAGTTAGGAAAATCTCTTGGAGAGAGAGAAATGGAGCCATTCCTATACAACTCCACATTCCAAGCTCACCTGCTCTGACGCGTTATTTGGATGTGTAATCACTTTGCCAAGGCCTGGAAAAGACCCAAACTTTGAGAGGAAAAAAGCTAGGCCACAGTCAAGTGAGTTTTACACCACCAGGGGTGCTGGCCAAGAAAGAAGCGCCTGATCAAACACATTCAAACTGGACAGAAATGTGCAAAAACAGAACAACAAAGCACAGAACCAGTCCTTCATTTGTAATAAAATGGCATGAGTGGTATTCAGCTAGCATTTAAAAAGGTCCAGTTAGAGAAAATTTCTTGAAGTAAAGGACCAAATGCTTATAATGTCTAATTAAAGGAGTAAATACTCTTATGGATCTGCTTGGTCTCTACACTGCACTAAACAATAAGAGGAAACAGAGCCATTCTGAATCCTTCAAAATAAAAACGTTAAAGAAGCATAGAGGCTGGTGCAGATGCTGGATGAACAACTACTGAGTATTAAGGACACCTTAAGAAAAAAAACAGTATTATTGATCAAATCATTCTGATAATCATTTGATCAGTCAGATACATTTGATTATTTTAAAATTGATGTTTCCTGGGTCATTATTTTAATTCGCTGCGGGATGAGACAACATGGTGATATTTACAGGTGGGTAGAGTTGAAAATTTTCATATATATATTACTGTCCGGAGAGTAATGATTCTAACAAATACATACACTTAATTGATTAATTTTAATTAATTTATTAATGTTTAGAAAATAAAACCATCCCTATCTTTATTGATTTCATCGATTCAGGTCATTTTTAGATCTCGAGATAAACACGTGTATTTCAATGAACAGAAGCCCCGCCCTCGGCGTCTCTTGCCATGGCAGCGTGTCAACAGCGCTCCATGGAGACGGTGAAACCTGAACCGGGGCTGTTTTTCCGCGTTTCTCCGTGATTTGGACACAGCTACCCGCCTGCTGGTGATGGGACGGCCCAGGTACTTCACTCCCTCGGAGGTGGCGGCTCACAACACGGCGGAGGACCTGTGGGTGTCGTTTCTGGGCAAAGTGTACGACCTGAGCCCGCTGATGAGCCAATACAAAGGTGAACCGCAGCAGGTAGATTACTGCGTCACCAGTTGAAGACAGGGCAGGCTGAAAAGCACAAAGTGCCTCTGTGAGAAGTCAGCGTCAGTGAGAGTGATTCCTGTTTTTGACTCTTTAGTTACACAACAGGAAAACGAGTTTCCGGAAGTGTCTGCTCCTGCTGCTAATCCACACAGCGAGCAACCAGAAGGAGTTGCACTGTGTGTGTGAGACTTGTGTGTCCGACATGAAGACTCGCAGAGTACAAAGACACAAAATGACAACAAAGGGAAAAAAAAATAAAAAATAATCCCTGAAAACGTGGATCACAGTTTTCCCACTCAGTTCATTGATTTAATCCATAGACTGTATGCAAAAGATGGTGCTTGCTGCATATTGTTGTTGTTGTTGTTCTTCTTCTTCTTCTTCTTCTTCTTCTTCTTCTGCCCTCTGGTGGTCATTTCAGGCATTTCTGCACTGAAGTGTCAA